GCAGGGAGGGAAAAGATGGGGCAGTAAGATGCACATGGCTTGTTGAATAGAGCAGGGACGACGTAACGAACCCTTGAGACACCTCCGTGAGAATCCGGCCCTCCAAAGCTGATGCAAGTGAAGGTTCTGGAGAATCTTCAGGTGAAGATTCGGGTGAAGAGCTGGTTCTAGGAGTTGAGTGCAGGAGGGCGTCGTTGAGTCTCCTCAGTTCAGCCTCAATCAGGAAAGTCGTGATAGCGTGATCAGCAGCTAGTGCATTGACTGCATCTCTTGCGGCAATTGCTTCGGCTGCATCAGCAGTAGCGACAGCAGCAGCCGCATCAGCAGAAGCAGAAGCAGCAGCAGCAGCAGCAGCAGCAGCAGCAGCAGCAGCAGCAGCAGCAGCAGCACCAGCACCAGCAGCATCAGCATCTGAAGCAGCAGCAGCAGCAGCAGCAGCAGCCATATTAGACACAACGCTTAAGAAAAACATGTCAGAGTTGCAGCACGGACCAGCTACACAAGGAGACACAGCCTTGAGGCGCTTTACAACTCCATGTGGACTTGCACCAGGATCAGATGAGAGTTTTGCCGAGTCAGCAAAGTCAGAAAAAGCCGAAAAATCCGCATCAGCAGCACCCGCACCAACAGGAGGAACACGACCCAAGCCAATCAGATCGGAATCTGCAGGCTGAATTAGCATCAATCTTCGAGCCTCATCACCAGAAGTCGCATAATCAAGCGGTATTGGTTCCGCTTCAGCTTGCAACGTGTTCTGGATGTTGCATTTAGTGCTGTAGACACCGTCCTGATCAGCGTGCAACTTGCTCTGAAAGTTGAGTTTTGTATCAAAGGCGCTGGCGCTGTCCTGCTGCTGAGGAGGCCATTCTCCCGGGAGCAAGGCTTCGAACTCCGTCAGCTCTTGCATGGGTGAACTTCCTAGTGAGAATGTTCCAGCGTTAGTGTCACTTTCAGGAAGAGGGAGTGGAGGAAGGAGAGCGCAGGTGAGAGAGGGGGTTGAGGAGTGAGGATAAGAAGTTGCAGCGGGTGGAACGTGGGGCGAGGCTGAAGGACCTGACGACCCCTGGGGAACTGAATGTGAGGGTGATGTTGGGAGGAGCGGCTGTGATGTTAGGAGGAGTTGCTGTGGAGCTGGAGGGAGCTGCTGTGAGGATGGGGAGTGTTGGTGCGATGCTGAACGGCATGCTGCTGAACAGCATCGCTGCACTGCCAATGGAGCCAGTTGATGAGCGGAGGAGCATGGGGTCGGAGAATGTGAGGCAATGGCTGCTGCGCTTGCACTTTCTACCATCGCTGCTGCCCGAGCCGCTGCTGCCGCTGCTGCTCCCGCTGCTGTCACTTCTGCTACGGCGGCTTCTGCTGCTGCGGTTGCTGCCGTTGCGGCTGCTGCTGCCGTTGCTTCTGTCGCTGCTGCTGCTGCTGCTGCTGCTGCTGCTGCTGCTGCTGCTGCTGCTGCTCCTGCTCCACCTCCCACACCGAGTCGACATGTCACTGTTGTTGCTGCTCCAACCTGAAAATTCATCGGCGTTGTCATTCTCTCCGTCTCGGGCATATCCAATGCTGAAGCGTGCTGATGCTGATACGGTGCGTGCTGCTGCCGCTGACATGATGAGTTGCTGAGAGCTGAACCGGACGCAGAAATTCCTGAAGTGTTCTGAATGATGCCGGCGAGAAATAAATCGGATTTGCTTCCTGAACAATTCGGCACGACAGCTGGCTTCATCATGTGCTTGGCGATTCTCGGTTTGACCGTCATCGTCATCATTGCTTTCCAGTCCCGGTCCTTGTGCGCTGTACCTCGGTTTACTCTTCGAGACGAGCCGAAGTCAGAAGCGTTTACGTGTGTCGTATCCTCGCTCTGATTTGAAAACTTTCTGCACGACATGGGAAAGCGGAGAGGGGAATGTGAGAGGAGGTATGAGGCAGCACACGTTTTTGTGTGGATGTAAATGTAGCTGTAGCAACGTCGCCAAGTCATGATGAAGAAATGTCAAGTTAGAAAATTAGCAATATCAGGTAATGTTGAGAAAGGACTTACCCTTTGAGCACAAGAAAGCGGTTACAGCAGGCCTTGTGGTCTCGCGTGGGTAGAAGGCCCATGGACTGTAACCGTGTCCATTTGTTTGTTCCATGCCTTGCCACGTGGGCCAATAATATATCGTCTTCCTACACACACCAACAAAGAGATATTCAGCGACACGAAGGCGAAAAAACGGGGGAAAAACAAAAACAAAAAACAAAAAAAAAACACAACAGAAGGAGATTCGTGTACCTCCGGCCTCCGTAGTATGCCAGTTACCCGCTTCTTCTTCTCCTTAGCACCTCCAGAAACTTGCTCTTTCAATCCCGAACGTAGTAACACAGGCCTCATTGCTCCCAGACTCGCCCAACAAGCACCCTAATGAAGAGCTTTAGCCTTAAAACTCCCGTTCCCTTGGCCACTCGACAAATTCTGGCTTCGCCAAAGTGGCGAAATGCTGGGTAGACAGATTGTGGCGAATGGTGGGGAGTCTCGCAGCTGCAGACTTTATAGTACTGCGAACAAGTTGATGGATACACCGAAAAGTGATCCAGCTGAAATTGAGTTTGGCGATAGAGAATGGAGTCAAAGGAAGCACATTCCAGAATACTTCTGTCACGCGTAAGATATGAGTCTGAAAGAATAGTACGACCCCAAACCAGAGTTTGAACCTTCTGAGTAAACCTTCCAGCACGAACCGCCAAGAGGTTTGATAGAATCTGTCTGAGATTGGATGATGGGGATGGAGCCGCTCCATGTTGAAGCGTGCAATGGATACAGTAGTACCGACCGCTTTCTGAACGTCGGAGGGACTGATATTGCGAGTGTGATAGAGATTGACGCACGCGGGAACTCGGACAAGTCGCAGGAAACGAGTGGATGCGCCATCCCAGCGATGCGAGCACTCAGACGACTAAGCTACTGCTACTACAACCTTTGTATGCAGTTTCCTGGTGGAACTACCTACTTGCCGGAACCATCAACTTTCGGAAACCACCTACTTGCGGGAACTGAACCACCTACGAACTGGCAAATGAGGTGCACTACTTGCCGAAATAGAAAAGCAAAACCGAAGAAACCGCGATGGTGGGTTGGGATCATGGGAATTACTGTATGGGATCATGAAAATTATGGGATCATTGGTTGGGAGAGTCCCAGGGAGTCCCAATTTGGGACCAATCCCCTCGAATCTAAACCCTCGCGGGAGAGTTCCGCAGCACAGCGCCAGCGCAGCCCTCCATTGATCTTCCGCTTCCCCCCCACCCCAACCCTCCGCTCTCCCCAAGCCTTCCGCTCCCCGTGTCCGCCGAACGACTTGTCTAGTGGCATTTTTTTAGGGCTCGGGGGGGAAGATTTTATAGGTGGTGTAGATTCTAGAACCAGCCTTCGCAAAACGGATGCATGTGGGGTGACGACCACCAGGACGCCATGGTAACGGGTGGTCCGTTCGTTCGCGGACGGCCTTTTCGCAGACGGGTGTATGATCGTGTGACGGAACATTGGCAAGTCAGCTCCAGAACTTGTGCGGCTGTGAAGGAATGATGCCAAGGTAGCGACAGACCCTTCATTGTCGGATCTCTGTCGCGACCCGCCGCATTCATGTACTGTATGTAGCGGTACTCTTGGTTTCATTCGGGCAGCTCACCACTCACCAGTGGGTGTGGTGTGGTTGTTGCTGCATGCCTACTCCGCTAGTTGCTGGCTTCCTACCATTCCAGCGTCACTTCAGCCGACTCCGTAGACCGCCGGTCCGCCGACAAGCACTAAAGCCCTAATTTCTGGGCATCATGCTCGCAGCTGGATGGGCCTGTTACGTTGAGCACAGCACCCCGTTAGTGGTTGGGTGGAAGGATGCCAACAAGCTTTGTCACAAATGTAGACTTTCAAAATGTGCATACTTTAAAACCGGGGTGCACATTCAGCTGAATGTGCATCAAAAGTTATCCCTTGACTGAGTGGGTTACGAGGTGTGCTTTCAACCCCTTCAAGTCGAAATTCGTTTCCCCCCTCCCCCGCAATTTCGTTTCCCCACGCCCCCGCAATTTCATTTCCCCCTCCCCGTCGAAATTCGTTTCCCCCCTCCCCCGCAATTTTGTTTCCCCCCTCCCCCGCAATTTCGTTTCCCCCCCCTCCCGCCAATCTGTTTCATCCCTCCCGCCATTCGGTTTCACCCACTCCCGCCATTTCACCCCCTCCCGCCACCTACGAAATGCCCGAAGCTCTAGCGGAATCATTTTTTTGTCGCCCCTCGTGAGCCAATCACTGTTTTTCTCCAAACCCCCTTCCCAACATCTCAAGCCGAACCGCGTTGAATGTGCACCCTGGTTTTAAAAGGTCAAGCTACCTGACCACCAGCTAAACAAATTAGTCTCCACATACATATTGCAGCAACTTCTCAGTTAATTCCGGCCTGCCTTGTCTCTGAACAGCTTAGAACACATCCTTTGGAGAGTGTTGCTAAAAAACAACTCTGCCAGGGCTTCTGGCATTAGGAGCATCTCTTTTCCCACCTTCAGGGCTGTCCGAGCCACCACATACGGTACCACATGACCCGAGCCGACGCATGATTCATCACACCTCCACATTAAACTTCTTGTCACCATGTCAACGGCGCCGCCAGGTTCTAGTCCCACTTATGGAGTACACGCATGAAAACCAATGTACACGACACAAGTTGGCTTCCAATGCATAAACATCCGGCCCATACGTTAATATTCCTCAGCCTGTTCCAAGCTTCCTTGCCTCACACCGAACCCCTACCCACCTCCTGCGCTTCACCAAAAACGCCACACACACACATCCTTATTATAATTCTTCATACGCAGTTTTTCCCGCTACAAGCCCTCCTTGTGCCCCACAGGACCCCCCCTGCGGCGCCTCAGTACTGCTCTCTGCTTCTGCCAGTGACTCCGCACTGCTGATGTTGAATTGGAAGGTTTCTGAGGTGCCTCATGACCCTTGCGGCACCTCAAAAGTCTCCTCAGTACTGCTCTCTGCTTCTGTCAGTGAACTCGGCGCTGTTGGGGTTGGAAGGAATCTGCCAGAGGGGGGAGGGGAGACCAGGAGTGGGGCAAGACAAAAAACAAAGAAGGGAGGAAGAACACACATGAGACAAGGTTGACATTACTAGGTGCCCTTTTTACTAGGTGCATTCTCGCTTACGACTACTTTCTACCCCTTCTCTGAGTAAGCTTCGCACTGGTGGGGTTGGAATGGAAGGAATCTGTCAGATAGGGAAGGGCCAGGAGTGAACCGATGGCTGTCTGCTTCTTTCAGTAAACTTCACATTGTTGTTGGAATAAACATGCCAAGAAGGTGGGAATGGGGAGTATGAGTGGGGGAGAATGAGTGGGGGGAGGAATCAGGAGTGGGGGGAAATGTGGGAAGATCAGGAGTGATGCGGCTGGAGAGGGGGAGGACCAAGAGTGGGGTAAGACAAGAAATGGAAGAGGTTACAACAGCATGTGTACGAGTGTTACATTGTTGACGGAGCATATTTTGGCTCGGTCAAACACCTCTGTTACATTGCTGTTATTTGCCAAATAGCACTCGAAGCGACACCTCTATCCCATACATACATATCAACAGCGCAAGCTCGGTATGCAAAAAAAAACTTAATCAATGTAAATATCTACGAATTTATAGGCTTGAATATAAATATTACAACTCACCGTTTCCAAAGGCTGGCCCACAAAGCGGCTGCTTCCAGGCACGAACCCCCTTCCACTCGCCGGACCTCCCGCCGCCGAACCTCCCATCGCCGAACCACCCACCGCCGAACCACCGGCGTAGCCACCTTCAAACCCATTGTCCGTACCATACCCGCTCTCTCCCCCGTACTGCTCCTGATGCTCAAACGACTGCTGATGAGTCAGCGACGAGGACTGATGAGTCAGCGACTGCTGATGTGGCATCATGTACTGTTGGCGCATCTCAGCGGAATACATGGCGGAATCAAAGTCCTGAGTGGGGCCTCCGAAGGGGTGGTCGTTGAACATGGTGCTCTGCCCCGGTGCTGATGCCGTCCGCATGTCGTTCACACTGCCACTGCCCTCCAACAGCCGAACAACCTGATGGGGGAGAGGAGGGGGGGAGAGAGAGAGAAAGGCAAGGGGGAAAGCAGGAAATGCATGAGGTAAGGCGTGGGACAAGGCATGGGATGGTGGGTCAAAGGAAGGGAGGCAAATTTCTGCGTGGGTCCCCCGAAGGGGTGGTCTTGAACATGGTGCTCTGCCCGGGTGCTGATGCCGCCCGCATGTCGTTCACACTGCCACTCCCCTCCAACAGGCGAACCACCTGAGGGGAGCAGGGGGGGGAAAGGCGTACAGGGTAAGGCATGGGAAAGGCATGGTGTGATTGGGAGGCATGGGATGGTCTAGTTTTGAGGCACCTCAAAACTTGATTAGGAGGCATGGGAAAGGCGCCACTCCCTTGTGGGACAACAAGGCTGATGCCAACCGCAAGTCATTCACACTGCCGCTCCCTTCCAACAGCCGCACCACCTGTGAGGTGTGATTGGGAGGCATGGGATGGTGGGACCACCTGTGAGGGTTGACGAAGAGAGGTAATGCATTAAGGCGCGGTGGCACTCACTCCTCCATCTCCTCCCTGTCGTACCACCCCTCCCTCTCCACCCATCACCCCCCCTTGAATTCCTCCCTTCCCATCCCCCTGCCCTCATCCTCTCATCCCCACCTCCTCCCCCACCTCCCCTTCCTCCCTCGTCTCATTTGAAGCCTGCTCGTCCTTTCACCCACCTGCCCCACGTTGGGTCGCAGAATGGCGGAGTGTCTCACACAGAGAGCAGCTGTGGCGATCGCCCGCTCCATCTCCTCCTCGTGATACTGAGCCTTCCTATCAGCCTATTGCTCCCCTCTTCCCCTCACTGACCTGCCCCATCTTGGGTCGTAGGTTGGCGGAGTGCCGAACACAGAGAGCAGCCGTGGCAATCGCCCGCTCCATCTCCTCCTCGTCATACTGCCCTTCTAGCCGCGCATCCACCAGCACGTCCACCTGGTTGCTCGCTAGCAGCGGGCGGGACTGCCAGGGGAGGCAGGGAAACAGCAAGGGACAACAAGAGAGCAGCAGGCAGGGGTTAGGGACACACTTGTTTCCATCACCTCCCCCATCTCCTCCTCGTCGTACCGCCCTTCCAGCCGCGCATCCACCAGCACGTCTACCTGGTTGCTGGCTCGGAGAGGACGGGACTGCCAGGGGAAGGAAAGCAGCAAAGAGAGGGAAGAGAACAAGGGAGAACAAAGACGGGTTGAAGCAACAAAGCGGTTCCCCCATCTCCTCCTCGTCGTACCGCCCTTCCAGCCGCGCATCCACCCGCACGCCCACCTGGTTGCTCGCCAGCAGCGGGCGGGACTGGGGAGACGGCGAGGGTTGAAAAGGCAAGGGGAAAGGATTGAATGGATGGGCTCCTCGCTCCATCTCCTCCTCCTCGTCCTCCATCTGTGTCTGTGTCTGTGTGTGTGTGTGTGTGTGTGTGTGTGTGTGTGTGTGTATGTGTGTGTGTGTGTGTGTCTGTGTGTGTGTGTCTGTGTGTGTGTGTCTGTGTCTGTGTCTGTGTGTCTGTGTCTGTGTCTGTGTCAGTGTGTGTGTCTGTGTGTGCATCCACCCGCACGCCCACCTAGTTGCTCGCCAGCAGCGGGCGGGACTGGGGGACGAGCAGCAAGGAAAAGTAAGAGAGAAGGGATGGGTGTAGCGAGCGACACAATTGCAGACATCTTGCGCTCCGTCACGAGCTCCACGTGCATTGAGGTCGTTTTTGAGGCGCCTCAAAAACGACCTCAATTGCAGACATCTTGCACCCCGTCACGAGCTCCAGCAGCACGCCGCAAGAGAAAAGACAAAAAAAAAAAAAAGGCCCTGCCATTTCAGAGGAACAACGCACCCACTCCACAAGGCTCGCTTTTGAGGCGCCTCAAAAGTGACGCCAACAGCAGGAGCAATGACCCAGAGTTCGTGCGAGCTGCGCTGCTTTTGAGGCGCCTCAAAAGTCATTTCAGAGGAACAACGCACCCACTCCACAAGGCTCTCTTTTTGCAGGTGGCTGTGTCGTGTCCACCGGCTTGCGGCCTGTGACTGGTTTTGAGACGTCTCAAAACCAATCTTCATACACGTGGCTACTCCACAAGGCTCTCTTTTTGCAGGTGGCTGTGTCGTGTCCACCGGCTTGCGGCCTGTGACTAGCTCCAGCAGCACCACTCCGAAGAACCGGAGCGAGACAAGCCAGGAGAGAGAGAAGGTAACACCCCAGAGGCAACTCACCCATTCCACCAGGCTCTCTTTGCCCGGTGGCTGTGATGCGTCCACCGGCTTACGCCCTGTCACTCGCTCAAGCAGCACCACTTTAAAGGAGAACACATGAGTCAAGTAGAAACCCGCAGAAGCATCCCATTCCAGATGAGGTACCTCACAACGAGGCGCCTCAAAACGACCCCTAGTCGGAGACAAGAAGTCCACGGTGTGAACTCGGAGGAGCCACCCCATTCCAGAGGAGGTAACACCCCAGAGGCAACTCACCCATTCCACTAGGCTCTCCTTGCCAGGCGGCTGTGTGGTGTCCACGGGTTTGCGGCCTGTTACGAGCTCCACTCCAGCAGCACCACTCCGAAGGAAAGAGCGAGCGAGACAAGCAAGGCAAGGAGGTAACACCCCAGAGGCAACTCACCCATTCCACTAGGCTCTCCTTGCCAGGCGGCTGTGTCGTGTCCACGGGTTTGCGGCCCGTGACGAGCTCCAGCAGCACCACCCCGAAAGAAAACACGTCCGACTTGTCTGTGAGCTTGCCACTCATGGCGTACTCTGGTGCCAGGTACCTGCGGGGTGGGCAGGGGCCGACGGAGGGCAGAAGCGGAGGGTGGCTAACAGCTGTCATGAGACTTGTCTGTCAGCTTGCCACTCATTGCGTACTCTGGTGCCAGGTAGCTGAGGGGTGGAGGAGAGGATGGGAAGGTGGGGACACAAGGGGAGGGGAAGGGGTTCGTTGAAGCACTCCGACTTGTCGGACAGCTTGCCACTAATTGCGTACTCTGGTGCCAGGTAGCTGAGGGGTGGAGGAGAGGATGGGAAGGTGGGGACACAAGGGGAGGGGAAGGGGTTCGTTGAAGCACTCCGACTTGTCGGACAGCTTGCCACTCATTGCGTACTCTGGTGCCAGGTAGCTGAGGGGTGGAGGAGAGGATGGGAAGGTGGGGACACAAGGGGAGGGGAAGGGGTTCGTTGAAGCACTCCGACTTGTCGGACAGCTTGCCACTCATTGCGTACTCTGGTGCCAGGTAGCTGAGGGGTGGAGGAGAGGATGGGAAGGTGGGGACACAAGGGGAGGGGAAGGGGTTCGTTGAAGCACTCCGACTTGTCGGACAGCTTGCCACTCATTGCGTACTCTGGTGCCAGGTAGCTGAGGGGTGGAGGAGAGGATGGGAAGGTGGGGACACAAGGGGAGGGGAAGGGGTTCGTTGAAGCACTCCGACTTGTCGGTCAGCTTGCCACTCATTGCGTACTCTGGTGCCAGGTAGCTGAGGGGTGGAGGAGAGGATGGGAAGGTGGGGACACAAGGGGAGGGGAAGGGGTTCGTTGAAGCACTCCGACTTGTCGGTCAGCTTGCCACTCATTGCGTACTCTGGTGCCAGGTAGCTGAGGGGTGGAGGAGGGGGGGGGGGGAGGGCGCAGGGGGAGGTGGGAACGGAAGAGGGTACTTTTTAGCTGTCAGGTCACAACACCACTCTGACTGGCTTATCGGTGAGCTTGCCGCTCATGGCATGCTCACTGAGAAGTGTCAGAAACTGCTTTTGAGTCGACTCAAAAGCACAACACCACTCTGACTGGCTTATCAGTGAGCTTGTCTATCATGGCATGCTCACTGACAAGTGTCAGAAACTAGCTTGCTCTGGTGCTAGGTGGATGTGGTGTGGGGAGGGTGGGGACGACGGAATGACTTTTGAGGCGCCTCAAAAGCCACTCTGACTGGTTTGTCAGTGAGCTTGCCGCACATGGCATGCTCTGGTGCGAGGTAGATGTGGAGTGGGGAGGGTGGGGGGTGGGGGACGACTTTTGAGACGACTTTTGAGACGACTTTTGAGACGTCTCAAAAGCTTGCCTATCATGGTATGCTCTGGTGCGAGGTAGATGTGGTGTGGGGGGGAGGGGAGAGGGGGGACAACGAAATGGGGAAGGGAGAAGGAGAATGAGGGTGGGAATGTGGGAGGGGAAGAGGAAATAATAGGTGCAAGCAACAGCACCAGGTGCATAACTTTCACTATCACCCCGTGCACCCACTTTCACTATCACCCCGTGCACCCACTTTCAAAGCACACCAGTCACCCCATGCCACTCACCCGAACGTCCCCATGACACGTGTCGACACGTGAGTGGCTCCTTCAGTCGCCAGCTTGGCCAGTCCGAAGTCCGCCACCTGTGATGGGCGAACAGGAGAATAGAGCGGTGAAGAGGGGTGACGAGGGGTAATGAGGGAAATGAGGGGCAAGCAGGGATGACGAGTAAAGAGGGACAACGAACGGGGTGATGGAGGGGGGTGGGGGAGGAGGATATCTCTGCTTTCACGTGTATGAAGAAGTCTCAAAACACTTGTGATGGAGACGTCTCAAAACACTTCTTCATACTGATGGAGGGGGGTGGGGGAGGAGGAGGATATCCCTGCTTTCACGGGGAACGAGGATGTGAAAGGATGTGGTGGGATGGGATGGGCTGTCCCACCACATTCCACCTGTCTGTCACTATCACCAATTTTGACGCATAATGAGGATAGAACGAGGAATGGGGTGATGGAGGGGGGTGGGGGAGGAGGATATACAGAACGAGGATGTCCAGTTTTGACGCATAATGAGGATAGAACTCTCCCCTGTGCCTCGTACTTGGTCGAGCAGGATGTTGGACGACATGATATTGTTTCAAAATCGAGCTCATAACGAGGATTCTACTCAATAGCGAGGATACTAAGCTCACCTGCGCCTCGTACTGCTGGTCGAGCAGGATGTTGGACGACATGATGTTGTTTAAGAACGGACCTTATAACGAGGATTTTACTCAATAGTGAGGATACCCCGCTCACCTGTGCCTCGTACTGCTGGTCGAGCAGGATGTTGGACGACTTGATATCGCGATGAATGATGCGCGGATGGCCTGATGCGGTGGGATGCGGTGGGGCGGGGTAGGACGGGTTGGAACGCGGTGGGGCGGGGTGGGATGCGGTGGGACACGGTGGGATGAGATGGGATTGGGACGCAGTGGGACGTGGTGGGATGTGGTGGGATGGGACGCAGAGGGACGGGGTGGGATGGGACGCAGAGGGACGGGGTGGGATGGGACGCAGAGGGATGGGGTGGGATGGGACGCAGAGGGACGGGGTGGGATGGGACGCAGAGGGACGGGGTGGGATGGGACGCAGAGGGATGGGGTGGGATGGTATGCCATCTTGACTAAAACAGAGGAACAGCGTGAATCAACAAAGCCAGTCCAGTAGCACACAGAAACACGGGTGGCTGAAACAAAGAAATGGCTGAAAGGAAGGTCGGGTGATTACTATGCACTGGGTGACTAAAACGCAGGGTTTTACTGTAACATAGTAACGCACGGAGTTACTACAACGCAGAGTGACTCAAAGGAGGAGCATGGTCGGTCATGTTGGTAGGGAGGACAGCCCGTTAGCAGACAAAGAGAATATAGTAGGACACACGGAGCGACTGTAACGCACAGAATGACTATAACGCACGGAGTGACTATAACGCACGGAGTGACTATAACGCACGGAGTGACAATAACGCACGGAGTGACAGTAACGCACGGAGTGACAATAACGTACGGAGTGACAATAACGAACGGAGTGACTACAACGCACGGAGTGACTACAACGCACGGAGTGACTATAACGCACGGAGTGACTATAACGCACGGAGTGACTATAACGCACGGAGTGACTATAACGCACGGATTGACAATAACGCACGGAGTGACAATAACGCACGGAGTGACAGTAACCCACGGAGTGACAGTAACGCACGGAGTGACAATAACGCACGGAGTGACAATAACGCACGGAGTGACAATAACGCACGGAGTGACAGTAACGCACGGAGTGACAATAACGCACGGAGTGACAATAACGCACGGAGTGACAATAACGCACGGAGTGACAATAACGCACGGAGTGACAGTAACGCACGGAGTGACAATAACGCACGGAGTGACAATAACGCACGGAGTGACAATAACGCACGGAGTGACAATATAGGGTCGCCCGACTCACAGTCCTCGTGCAGGTAGGCCAGCCCACAAGCAGAGAGAGTAATTGTAACGCACAGGTGACTAAAACAAGGAATGAGTGTAACACAGGGTTGCACGGGTGATTCACAGTCCTCATGCAGGTACGCCAGCCCCTTAGCCGCTCCTATGGCCAACTTGCTCCTTGGATACAAGGCACAATACGAGTGACCTTACCACACAGAGTGACTAGAATTGACGGAACGGAATGAGTATGAGTGACTCACAGTCCTCGTGCAGGTAGGCCAGCCCTTTAGCCGCTCCTATGGCCACCTTCATTCTTAAAGCCCAGCTCATCACTGGCGCGTTCTTGCCTGCAGGGTGGCGCAGAGAGGAGTGGGGTGGGGAAAGGGAGGAACGAGAGCTGGTTCATACACCAGCAGCCTGATCGCCCCCAATGCAGTACCCCAGCAGGGTCACCAGGTACCTATGATGCACCCTACTGATAATCTCCACTTCCGCCCTAAACCCCTTTCAACTCACCGTGTAAAGCGTCATCCAGAGTCCCATTCCGCACGAACTCATACACCAGCAGCTGCTGATCGCCCCCGATGCAGTACCCCAGAAGGGTCACCATCATAGAAATAGGGTTACCATGTAACCACACCACATCGACTCACCGTGTAATGCTTCATCCAGAGTTCCGTTCGGCACGAACTCATACACCAGCAGCCGCTGATCGCCTCCTATGCAGTACCCCACACAGGGTATCCAGGTTCCACATAGAAATAGGGTTACCACGTACCACATCACATTCACTCACCATGCAACGCTTCGTCCAAAGTCCCATTCGGCACGAATTCATACACCAACAGCCGCTGATCGCCTCCTATGCAGTACCCCAGCAGCGTCACCAGATACCTATGGTGCACCCTACTAATAATCTCCACTTCCGCCCTAAACTCCTTCTCCCCCTGCCCTCCCCCAATCGTCAGCACCTTCACCGCAACTTCCTTCCCATCCCTCACCACCCCTTTGTACACCTTCCCAAACCCTCCCTCCCCTAGAAGATTCGTGCGCGCGAATCCCCCAGTTGCCTGCTCTAGCTCCGCATAAGAAAACCAGGATTGCGAATGCATTTGATTCTGCTGGTTATCCTGCCCCCTGCTGCTCGCGCCTGCGCCCCCCGCGCCTGCTGCAACCGCCCCCATCCCCATCCCCATGCCCATCCCCGTGGCAGCGGCGGCGGCGGCGGAAGCAGAGGCGGAACCGGCGGAAGGGTCGTCTGGGGGGAGCATCATGTGGGAACCGATAGGGACCACCGCATATGGGTTGGGCGGTGGTAACATAGGGTAACCCGACCCTCCCTGGCCGGATGCTGTGGTGTAGAAGCTCTCTCCGTACATGCCGTTGCCTGGTGGGGGGGAGAAGGGAGAGGGGGAGTGTTGGGGGGAAAAGTCAGAACGTTGGAGTTTGAGAGAAAGAGGGAGTTGACACAAGAGCCATCCGACCCTCCGTGGCCTGATGCTGTGGTGTAGAAGCTCTCTCCGTACATGCCACTGCCTGGTTAGGGGGAGTGGTGAGGATAGGAGGGAGTGTTGGGTGGGAAACGGGAAAGTCAGTTGAGTAAAGGAAGGAGTAGATTCAAGAGCCATCCGACCCTCAGTGGCCTCATGCTGTGGTATAGAAGCTCTCTCCGTACATGCTGTTGCCTGGTGGGAAGAGGGTTGGTTTCGGAGAAGCAAGGGTGTTGGTGTTTGAATTTACTAAAAGTAACCCGGGACTGATGGTGTGGTGTAGAAGCTCTCTCCTTACATGCCGCTGCCTGGTGGGGGGAGTGGGTAGTGAGGAGAGGAGTGGAGGAGGTGAGAGGAGGGGGAGGGTGAGAGGAGGGGGAGGGTGAGAGGAGGGGGAGGGTGAGAGGAGGGGAAGGGTGAGAGGAGGGGGAGGGTGAGAGGAGGGGGAGGGTGAGAGGAGGGGGAGGGTGAGAGGAGGGGAAGGGTGAGAGGAGGGGGAGGGTGAGAGGAGGGGGAGGGTGAGAGGAGGGGGAGGGTGAGAGGAGGGGGAGGGTGAGAGGAGGGGGAGGGTGAGAGGAGGGGGAGGGTGAGAGGAGGGGGAGGGTGAGAGGAGGGGAAGGGTGAGAGGAGGGGAAGGGTGAGAGGAGGGGGAGGTGAAAGAGGAGATGAAGGGTGAGAGGAAGGAGGGGAAAAGAGGGGGCATGGGAGAAAAGAAGGAGCAGAAGAGGAAGCGGACTGAGGGGAGGGGAAGGGTTAAGGGATATTAGCTGTGACACGCCATAGACTGTAGCACCATATATCAATACATCATACACCGTATACCACCACAATACAATCCCACCATATCACAGTTTATCACAGATCACAGAAACCCCACCTACCACGACTGTTATACCAGTCTCGATCAACGACCACACCGCGCACCACCGCACACCACTGCACACAACCTGAGCTCACCTTTCAGCGCGTAGAAGTCGGACGTGCTGCCGCGCGGGTATCGCTCTTCCTCCTCCTCCCGCCGATTAACTACGAAATAGAAGAAGCACAGCAGCCCCACCACCAGCGTCACCAGCAACAGCGCTCCCCCCGCCACCGCGCCCGCCACTACCGCCGCGCTCACCCCCGCTTCCGGCGACGGCGCGGGTGCCGCCGCTTGCGGCGGCGGCGGCGACATGTAATTGACTGGCGGAGACGGCATATTGTTGTACGGCGGGGAGAGCGGCGGCGGGGTCGGGATGAATATGGGCGCGGGGGCGGGAGCTTCCGCGCGCGGAGGAGGCGCCCGCGGCGGCGGTGGGTTGCGCAGCTTTGGCCTTGGCGGGCGCACGAGCGCTGGTGCCTTCGGGGGCGGCGGGGGAGAAGAAGATATCGGGGAAGGCGCGGGCGCAGGCTTAGGCGGAGAGTCAACGACTGGCGCAGGCGCAGGAGCGGGGGGGTCGATTGGGGGAGGGGCTGGCAGAGGAGCTGGGGGCTCCGCTGGGGGGGGCGCAGGTGGTTCCGCGGGGGGTTCCGCGGGGGGTTCCGCGGGGGGTTCCGCGGGGGGTTCTGCGGGAGGGAGAACGGGAGGTGCCGCGGGAGGCTCAACAGGGGGCGGATGTCTCGCTATAAGGGGTTTTGGAGGTCGTTTAACGATTACAGGGGGGGGCGGAGGAGGTATTTTGGGCGGAGGTGACGGCACTGGCGGAGGCAGGGTTGGCGGCTTTGGCGGCGGCCGCGCCAGCGGCTTCGGAGGCCTTGGCGGCGGAAGCACAGGAGGGGGGAAGAGGATCTCGGGAGGGGGCGCAGGCTGGATATCGATCATCGGCGGAGGGGGATCGGGGAGAAGAGGGGGAGGCGCATCTATAACGGGCGGAAGCGGCGGCGGCGCATTAGGGGGAACTTGCAGTACCGGAGATGGCGGCTTGCCCCCCCGCGGCTTAGACGGCGGATTCACCGCTGGCGGCGGTCTGCCCTTGAAACTCGGTGGTTTCGGCACCGTAGCTGGCGGCGGTTGCGCTGCGACAGGCGGAGGCGCGTTGGGCGGTTGCGGGGGAGGCGCATCGATGATCGGCGCGCTGGGGGCTTGCGCGGGAGCGACGGAGCCCTGAAGAACGCCTAGCTTCGGCGCGGACAGCGGGGGGGAACCTTGGAGCAGAGTGACCATGCGCGGGGGCGGCGGGGGGAGAGGCGCGGGAGGTGGGGCGGAGGGTGTCGAGTCCTGCAGCGCGCGGACAGATCGTTGCGGAGTTTCGGTTTCAAGAGTCGACTGTTGAAGGACGCGGAAGACGGCGGCGGAGTGTGTAAGGGACGCGTGTTGGATCGGATTCAGATTTGAATCCATTGAACCTAAGCCGTTCATTTGGGGGATCAGATCGTCTGGGCAAGGCGTGTCTGTGAACGCGCCACCTGGCGACGGCTTTAGCCAGGGTTCGTTCATTTTGACGGATCCCGTCAACGGTACCAGTGATAACGTGCCAGCACACGCACTTAATCTCTAAGAAAAAATGAATGGATAAATAAGTGGAGATCGTGAATGATTGTGGTACGAGGGTGTAAGGTGACTGGCCCGTGCGTCTGCTGTGCGCTGAGGAGACACACCGACACCGAGGAACCTACGACGGCAACGAACCTACCAGGGCGAAGGACCTACAACGGCTCCTATGGCGCAAGGGAGGGAGTATGCGTGCGCGCGCTGAGGAAGCGAGTGTACATACGTCCCCGTTCCGTCACCCCCCCTGCTTCCCGCCGTCTCGTTCCCAACTCGAAGCTATGCAGCTATCCTTCTCAGGCCAAACCAGGCGTTTGAGGTCGACTAAGGAGAGCTTGAATGGCTAGCGTAAGGCCAACTGTTCGTGGTGATGACGGTTCAACAGAAACAGACAGGCACGCGGTCTGAAATGGTTCAAAGCGTTTCTCTGCACAGTTGATTCTCGTCGAAGCTCGTGACAGGTGGCGCCACGAGCGCGGACCTTGCGGCGTCACGAGCTCGGCTTGACCACTCAACGAACAGGAGAGATGGTGCTGTTCTGGCCTAGCTGTCCTGGAAAATGCCGTGACGAAAGCTGAGCGTCAGTGGTCGTTGGACCTAGAAGTTGTTGATTGAGGCATTTGGTGCCGGATGGAGCATGGTGGGGCAGATCGGCGGGATTGCTGGCGACTGCCTGAGAGGAAGGGGAGAGTGGTGTCAGACTCGAAATGCAGATCTCAAATACTCAAATAATCATGCGGCTTGAAGGGAGCAGAAGGGAATGAGATACGAGAGATGAGAAGGGAGGTATGGAGGGAGGTCAGGTAGGGAAAGGAGGGCGGCTGGTGAGGGAGGCTAGGAGGCGAGGCTGGGGAAGGGTCAGGTACGGAGGAGTCGGTGGTGGCAACCCCGAGGTCCAGTGTGGTGAATGATGTGGTGATGGCCTCCTGAAAGTCGCGCGAAGTCGAATTGTCTTGGGAATGTGCGGCGTGACACGCGGGAAATCTTGGTGGCAATCTCGACGGCTGCCATTTTCCCTGGCGAATTCTCTGGCACACCTGGTGACCTGGCATGGAGCTGACACCGACACAATCACGATGGCTATGAGAAACCAGGTTTCGCTGGCATGCTGGAATGGTTTGTGATTGGACGAAGTATGTGGCTGGTTACAAAACTTGCGTGCATGGAAAGCTACAGTATCGACCGACGTGTCGAATCTTCCCCTCCGACCAAGGAAAGCGGTGTTCTAGCATTGGTCGATCTGACAGCTTGTCAGGAGGAACCTTGTGTCAGCTGGACAGCGCTGGTCCGAAATGCCAGATATGGGGCGACGCGGCAGATATGTTGGATATCTGTGTAACTCGTCGTAATTCGTCCTCTTTCGCAGTTCACGAACACCGACTCCTGCGAGGCCTGTAAGTCCTGTATTTACGAGTCACACAATACCCATTCAATTGTGTGTACAGACGGTATCCTAAGACGAAGGGCGTTCAAGCGGGTACAAGCCATGCTCACTCTCTATTCTCGATTTGATCACTTCGTCAATCCCGAGGACCTCTACCACCTCCACCTTCAGCAAATCCTGGCTATTTATTGGATCTAGATTCTAGAGCATCATCACCCCCAGCAGCTAGATCCAACGGCTTGCGCCAACTAAATTCAGGTCCTACATTCAAAGCCTTGATTTCCGCCATAAGTGGGGGTCGGTAAAGCTTTCTTCGGTGTTCCGCCTTCACGCTTGATCATACGAAGCGGCACTTATGCACGTTGCGGTTTCTGCTCGCTTGCGCGTGGTTTCACGTACCCTCCCCACAGATCGCTTGCGATCTGCTTTGAGAACAGGAGTCGATAGTAGACGCGTAGCGCTTCTGAGTAATCGCTCTGGGAGTTTGACCGTTGCGAGGCGAGAGACAGGACTTGGCTGTCACCGTGTGCTCTCAGCCGGATCACTTCGTATGTGAGTGAACAATTAGTCGTTTCGCCTTCCAGCCGTTGATTCCCCGCATACCCAGTAATATGCTTACTTAGGTGTTAGCACGTCCTGCTGTAGTGTTCCCAGGAGCGCGTGATAGTCTTAAGTCCTTTCTGCTGTCAATTCCTGACGGTGCATGTCCAGTACTGGTATTCAGGCGGTTTATTTACCGGCTGATGATCTTGTCCCGTCAATGTTCATTGTAACGGCCCGGCACTGTTAGATTATCTAGCTGTTTTTCTGGCGCTCACGTTCGTGCTTGGTCACGATTTCCTGCTGCAAAGGCTCAAGCGTTACATTAAGTTTTGGAATCAGAGCATCCGAATCGATTCTAGTGTCCGAATGTATCCAGATGCAAGGTGCAAAAACTGCGATCATTGCGGAGCGTCACCGCTACGAAAGACTTGGATGAACAAATTCTCGCACCCTTGCAACAGGATCTCCTGGTGCAAGAGTGCGAACATGACAGGTCCTCCAGTGGTTACCATCAGTTCATCTGTCGTTATGTCGGAACGCGAATCCCGCTAGCGTTGGATAGTGAATATCTGGAGGGTGATAATTTAAGAGTTTGTCAAATTCCAGACCCCTTCGAGGTCTTACTTTCGACAGTTTGCTTTGTTTAATATTATACTGGAGAGTGCTTCTAGAGAAGTTCGCATCGATTGTGTCTTATTATTTCCTACCGAATCCATCACTCGCCGCTAGTCTAAGACCGAGACCTGGTCTGAAGGCCTCCTCATGCACCCACGGACCAGAGCGCTGGATACCATCTGGTCTCTTATCAGAACTCTGGTCTGGTATCCGTTACCTTGCTGAATCGTTGCTCTCAGCCGTTTACTCAATTTCATTACCGTTTCTTGCCGCTGTCACGCTGACACGAAACGCGATCCCTGATTTCCCTGTTTGGCTCTTTCAGCTGCGGCGTCCCTGTCGTATCCGCGCCGACCCGGCTCAGCTCACGACTCGAATCGCCGTCAACGGTCGCACGGGCCATGGCGACAGGCGCGGAGGGCGGCGGTCTGATCGACCGCGCGTCGACGGTGGAGGAGGAGGAGCTGCTGGAGTCGTTTTCGCTCATCGCCAGCATCGACAAGGCCTGGTGCCGAGTGTCGCCCGTCGGTGGGTGCAGATGGGCTGAGATGGGTTGAGATGGGTTGAATGGGGTCAATATTGGTTGAGATGGGTTGAGAAAAGGGGTTATGAGCAAGAGGGGTGGGTTAGGAGGAGGAGGAGGAGGAGGAGTTGCTCGAGTCGTTTTCGCTCATCGCCAGCATTGACAAGGCCTGGTGCCAAGTGTCGCCCGTCGGTGGGTGGAAATGGGCTGAGATGGACTGAGATGGGTTGAGATGGGTTGAATTGGGTCCATATTGGTTGAGACGCGTTGAGAAACGGGGTTGGGAGCAAGAGGGGTGGAATAGGAGGAGGAGGAGCTGCTCTAGTCGTTCTCGCTCATCGCCAGCATCGACAAGGCCTGGTGCCGAGTCTCGCCTGTCGTTGGGTGCAGATGGGTTGACATGGGTTGAGATGGGTTGAATGGGGTCCATATTGGTTGAGACGCGTTGAGAAACGGGGTTGGGAGCAAGAGGGGTGGAATAGGAGGAGGAGGAGCTGCTCTAGTCGTTCTCGCTCATCGCCAGCATCGACAAGGCCTGGTGCCGCGTCTCACCCGTCGGTGGGTGGTTGTGCAAATGGGTTGAGATGGATTGGAAAGGGGTTGGGAAGAGGGCGACATTACAGGCCAGCTGCAGGACTCCAGTGCAACGACACCTGCGCTCCCTCT